CTGCCCGCTATCTCTAAGTGCACGGCTCGGGTCTGTAAACACGTAAATACGCAGCCATATTTCTTTTTCGAACCACCGCCATTGTGAACAAACAGAGGTCCAAAATAGTCAATTCCTACTAAGTTAAAACAGCACCAACCCTTTTGGACCCTATATAGCGGTAGGGGAGTCATCATCTGCTGACCTGCAGAAGTTACCATTTTCCGACATACTATGCATTGACCTATTACTCGCTTCACTGCACTGATTCCCTTGGCAATCCAATATTTTTCACGGATCGCTGACAAAACGTGTGACGTGCCACTATGTCCTTCTCTGCTATGATAGTGGTGAATGATAAGATCAGTCACATGATGTCGATTGGGTAGGATCACCGTATGCTGGAAATGGGATGAGTAGTTTGCGTAACTAAGTCGCCCACTTACACAAAGCAAATCACTTATCTTAACTGGGCAAAGCTTCCTCAAAGAATGCACCATGTCTCCGTTTCGTGCTTCTTGAAGTTTTGCCTGTAATGTTGATTCACCGAATGTTTCGTCCTGCACCACTCTTAAAATCTTCCATCAAGCTGCGTCGATTTCTTCGACCGTGAGCTCTCGTACGCTCATGGTATCTTCGTTTCTCAATGAATACATAATTCTAATGTAAGAGATGAAACGAATAACCCACTTATCCTTGTCTTCTGATGAACGCAAATCGTCAATAACTACCGGAGGAGTTGCCGTGTACCAGGTTGGAGGCGCACCGATGTCCGTACGATAAACACTGCTAAAGTATATACTTAGTGTCCGCCTTGCTGTTGTCGTCTGCAGCAACGGATTGCCCTCCGGCCTTAAGCAGCACCAAGCCATCCCTGAATGTTCCTTTGGATTGCACATACCGGTAATATTTCTTAGGACGATTCTTGGCGCATTTGGCTAGCCTAAGCTCATAGTTGCGTTTTGATGTTCGAAACACGTCGACCGCTGCGTTCTGGAGGGCGGTGTAGCGCGTCCAATATTGGCGGTTCCCAGAAATTTTGTACAAGCGTCAACTTCGGTTTTTACGCTTGATAGCCTTGTCTATCGTCGCTCGCTACCAGATCGGTTTGGTTAGGTGTCGTCTGGGTTTCAGCGGTGCGATTTCGTCTTGGATTATGTGCAGCGATTTCTTAATTACTCCCAAAAGCGCTTCGATGCTCGTTACTTCGTTGTTCCAGGCTGGTTGTGTCGCTCTGCTACGGAGGATATTTACGTTCATGGCTCCAAAGTTTCTAGCCATTTTAGTGGTAGCTTTCGGATGCTGCATGTAGAATGTAAGTTTCATGGATACATAATCACTCTTAACTAACGGTGGCAGTAAATTCAATTGTATGAGATCCGTAGGGTGCTTCGTAATCACCAGATCTAGCAGTGAGGGGAGGCAGCCCGTTCTGTATCTGGCGTTTTCTTTCACGTTTTGCCGCATTGCATTTTCATGGGGCCACTCCAGGAATGCCTCTTCCCGTGTTCCTTTTGCGCTGGTTTCCAGCTTCCAATCAATATTTGACACGTTGAAATCACCCACTATCATAGTCTTTCTGGGTTCCTTCACTAGTTCTGAAAGGACGCGAAGGATGCTAATGTCCTCTTCACAACTCGAACTAGGGGAACGGTAGATGCATGTCACGTTAACCTTACTCTTCGGAAGGATCAGTGTGACAGTGCATACTTGAAGATTCCTGGTGCATACCCTGACCTGGGATTCGAGGTGGCTTATGCCCCCCCCCCTAATGAAGATGGCTACTCTCCCTCCCAGATAGTCATGCTCTCTATCCTGTCTCTAAATTGTATAGTGCTCTTAAAAGACTCGGGATACGTGATCATTTCTAGATAGCCAAGTTTTGGTGACCGCAACCACCCCTGCGCCGCATTCACCGGCCACCTTAAGGAGTTCCATCCATTTGTTACGTATGCTGCATGCAGTGATGGATAACACCACTTCTTCCGTTCTCCGTCCTTCGTTTCCTATAGTGCGTAGGTTTTTCTGTGCCTCGGGAACTAAACCCGAGGGGACGCCGAGTTTTTTGCAATCAAAGGCGGTGTTGACTTGGATCTCCGACGGATTGTGGCGTCTAAGTCTCTTTTAATGGGTGTTGCTAGAAATATACCCCTCAATTCCTTGGTGTTGTTTCCAACCAGGTCATCGTCTGGTTGTTCGCGGCTTACCTAGGTTTCGTTATCCAGTAAGTCTTCTATAACAACTACTCCCTTCAGAGCGGTCGTGTTCGGTTGGTGCTCCACGGGTTGAGGAATCCGTCCAGGAAAACCAATCTTTCTGCGTTGGACATCGCTCACTTTACGACCTAGAGGAGTGATTTCATTTTGCAGTCTGGGTTTTCTGGGCATAGTTCTCAATCTCTTATCCGGCCTGATGCCATACCTGCCCTTCGTTATCTGGGCTATTGCTACTGCTTTGGCTAGCACTTTATCCCTAACGGCCTCACTATAAAACTCGACCAAGATTGGTCGCGCCATGGGCGTCCCGGATTTCGAGAGCTGGGGTTTCCATACACCAACTCGGTGGACCCGTTTAAGAGGTACGGGGAGTAGGACCCCTGCTATTCGCAGTGCGTCGAATACTCGCCGTCTATCCATGTCCCTTCGGGCCTGAGACTCCCTAATGAGAGGTTCTTCACGATTCATAATCAGGAGTCTACAGGCCGCACCCCTTTCCATGTTACAAACTTGTCTTTCGAGGACTCTTACCTTGTTTTCTAGCTCCTGGTAGCTGGAAGTGGGGCAGTTAGTGGGGCCTTGCATCCTGTGGGTAGGCTTCATATCGCTAGACACAAGATTTTTCGATTTCACCTTGGAAATCACTTTTCTGCGCTGTGGTATACGTAGTTTGTGATTGGGAGTGGAGGTGGCTAGCGCACCGTCCTCTCCTGAATTCGACTTGCTATTTCCTGGGTTTGGCTTTTGCAGGCCAACATCCTTGATCAAAGCCGGAGCACCTACGTTCGATTGTCCTTTTTTCGTGGCGGAAACTTCGGCATACGTGCTCGCTCTGTCACGCGTGACAGGTGCATCACCCTGCACTGCTACTGGTGTGTGCTGTGCTGAGACTACTTCTGATCGTGCTGTAACTGGTGCATTTTCAGCTGTTCGAAAGTGATGGGGACAAACCAATTTTAACCCTGCGCTTTGACAATGGAACGCTTAATATTCTGCTTTTAGGCCAGAGCATTTTTCATGTGCCCACTTATGGCACACATCGCATCCTATACCTTTCACGACACTTCCAACAACTAACACTCAGACATGGAGACGCTGCTCGGGGCATGTCAAAAACGAACGATAAACACGTAATACAAAAACGAGTTACAGCCCCTGGAAAACTTCAAAAAACGATATACGCACACTGTAGAAACAAATCCCAAATACTAACAATGTATTGCGGCCTTTTAAGAGGTTGCACCAAATAAACTTAAAACAGGCTTAGAGAAAGTTCCTATCCGTAAAATGTGAAATATC